TGCGAGTGCTTCAAGTGCCTAACATAGACTGTGTTAATCGGATTAATTTAAACTTTTGAACAACGGGACTTTAGATACAGTCCAAGCCATCATTTTAAGTGTCTTTATTCCTTGCGGTCGGCATGACTAATGTGATTTGAATGTTGCGGGCAAATTTTAGTAAAATTAATATCTTCAATCAGAAGAACAAATCGAATTACCGGGAAACCTCGGAATTCATTTATTGTTAGTGGAGACTACCTTTGATGTACTTAAGTGTTTTATTTATTTATATCAAATGGCAGGTGTTTTGATAGTTATCATTAGCCCGTTAGCTGACTTCAGGCTTCACAGAGGAGAGGAGCATTAAAGTGGGAAAAATTCGAGAGAGAGAGAGGGAATAGAAGAGTGATTCAAAGATTTAAATGAGACAGCCAGACACAAATGCTCAGAAAGGGTACGATGAGTACTGTTGAAGGGTCGAATATGACTTGCAGTAGGCCATGGTAGTTTGAAGATAGAAGTCAACTGGCGATTAATAGACTTTTCTGCCGTATGAGTATACGTTGCCTAGGGTGCACCACGTGGAGGTCAGTCTATCTCACATCCTAATTAAGTGTTTTATTGATTTCGGGAACTGGGGACATTTCTGGAACCCAAAAACCCCTATAGTCCAAAATGGTTCTGCTGACGCTTTGAAATGGAAAGTTGAAATCGACTGTCAAGTTTGCTATGGAACGCATGATTTTCCTGTCTAAAGCAAAGAAGTGAAGCACTCGACGAAGATCGCACTCTTTCATGTGGAAAAGCCAACCGGTGTCAGAAGCAGAAAATATACTCTAAGGACGTCAAAAATTGAAATAATATTCAAGAAAAATTTCATCCAATCTGGTTATATATCAGACAGGAGGATCCAAATTGCTATTGGAAAGACTGGAAGTAAATGGACGCAACCAGCATATTCTCATCCATTTTCCGAAGCAGTCAAGATCACTGGGCAAAACAGAAAGCAAACCTAAATTTGGAGAAAAATGCGAAATCCGTTTTTCATCCACAACACCCAGTTCCAAGTAGAGGAGCTGTCTTATCTTGAAGGACTTGATTTCCTTTCAAAATTCTCTGCTTCAAGTATAGTTTTATAAGAGAGGAAAGAATGCGTTTGTTCATACTCTAAATTTTTTTTCCTTTAACCGAACCCATCATCTGAAGAAAACCGCCAAACCATTCCTGTGGTTAAAGATATATTTCAAACTCTCATTTCGGGAATTGGAATCTTTCTAACGCATAATGTACAGTACGATTTGCGAATTGAAAGTAAGAGCTGAATATCTAGACGATCTAATATTAGTTGACTGAATAGAGGAAGAATTCGTGGTTTTCATCTTAGAGCAGAGGAGTGATGATTTTTCTACGCTTCATGTTTGTTTCGTTTGATCGCCAACCTAATTCCAAAGTTTTGCTATCTTGTTGCTAACTCATTTTCCAACTCTTTGTCCATTCTGTCTTCATGGCATGAAGTTCGTGAGCCAACAAATCATCTCCCTCCCTCCCCCCCCCCTCCCCCTCCCCCTTCAGAAGGAGACTTCTTGGCACCGATCTACGGACTGTTAGAGAACGCTAGTAGAGCTGAAATAAGTGTTAAAATCCTTCACGGTCCTAACTCACTATATTCTAAAATTGAGAAGGTCATCGAAGTAGGCGCTTCAGATTACAGTGTGGAGGGGGTGGTGCTGGTTCACTTTTTCACACGTCTGTCAGGTGAGGGCATTGTTGACCTCAGTGGCCAAATAGTATGGATAAATAACAGTAGAAGCACTTTTCACTGTCATGGAGTTGAAGAATTCCCCTTAACTTTCTCCTCGTTATCCCTTTACTCCCCCTTTGTATCATTTTTTTGCTCAAATCTAAGAAAGTCACTCCAATATGTTCAGATAAAGAAACACATTCTCCGATGGGCAATAATTTTGATTGGAGTTCAGACAAGCTGACGGATTATCATTGGTTAATTCTGCATATCAGCTAATATTATTAGGAAAGGGTTTCTCATTGTCACCGTATATATGGAAAAGAATATTCGTTCTCTCCCAGATGTTCATTTCATAACAGTGGGAATCAGTAGTACACCCAATCATTTGGAAAGCAATGAGTTCAGGACACGGGGTGTGCTATAGACTTACCTCCACGTGGTGCACTCTGGGCAACGCATACTCATACGGCAAAAAAGTCTATAAACCGGCAGTTGACATCTGACTTCAAACTGCCATGATCCCACTGTATGTCGTACTCGACTACTTCCACAGTACTCATCTCACCTTTTCTCTACCTTTGTCTGTCTGTCTCTTTGAAACACTCCTCTGTCCCCCCTCTCTACTTTCTTTCACTTTTATGTTCCTTCTCCTCTCTATGGAGCCCGAAGTCAGTTAAAGGGCTAATTATAACTATCAAAACGCCTACCATTTGAAATAAATAAATAAGTTCAGGACACTTGTGGTCTAAGATGCATAAAAATAATCAAAATAAAATATGTGACTGCGTTATAGAGACTTCTGTTTTATCGAAGGCAAATGCATTGTAGTTTCTCTTAACTCGCTTACACAAATGTATTTGTAAAAAATCTAAAATAAATCTTCTTAAAGCCTTTATTTGTATTAATATTAGCAGAACTTTTCTTGACAAAATAATATTCTTTTAACCGAAAAGCCGATTTGTTTAAACGAATTTTAAATAGGCTAAGTTTATTTATTTTCACGATAATTGGTAATTTAAGAACGTGAATACATAAATGCATAAATGCAAAAGAAAAAAATTCTCTTGGTACCTATTGAATCACATTAACTTATATTTATCCAAAGTTTCAAATCTACTCAAGTATTTACAAAGTTTGCTGAAAGTACACCAAATGCTATTTGGCTTTCTCAAAACTCGAACATTTAAGCTGATCGAATTCTTGAAGTTGCAGAATCCGTCAATATTTCAAGTTTATTTAATTAATGAGCCGTCCATTTTTTTCGATCTTAGTAAATTAAAAAAATAATTATTTAATCGAAAAGGCTTGATTCTATTTGCATAAATCTTGAATTTCAACCTTAATAAGTGACAAAAGACTCCATGATTTTATTGGATATTGAATCGATTTTTTGGCAACTTCTATTACATATGGCTTTCGAAATGTAGAAATTACTTTTCAGTAATATTCTCTGCCCATTAAGACCGACAGTTCTTTTGGCGCTCCTACTATCTCATTGGTTTTTCCTAACAACAATACCTCGTTTATTACAGCAATTATTTGGCACATTCTGGACACAGAGAAGTTCCACAAAAAAATATCATGTACATATTTTGTTTTTTTAAATTTCACTTTAAAAAATTTAAATCATGATGTCGAGCAAAAGTATGCACAACTGTAAATTTTTTAAACGATGCTTCTTGTCAGTTCACTAATAAATTCTGAACAGTGCGTTCATTAAAATGCCTTCATTAAAATATTTACACTTTAAATGGCCTTAATTTGATCAAACATTTTATCCCCCACAGTGGTAGAATATGAAGACAATTGTGCATGCTATATTAAAGGCGGCATTGTCACCTAGGCAAATTCTCATTTAAGATAGAAATTAACAACACTGAAAGAAAAGGTGATTTAAGACCGATAATAAAAAATTGTACTTGTTGAACGTATACTCATAGGGAAAAAAGTCTATAACCCAGCAGTTGACTTCTCACTTCAAACTACCATCACCCCATTGCATGTCATATTAGACTACTTCCACAGTACTCGCCTCACCCCTTTTTCTACCTTAGTGTCTGTCTCTTTTACATCTTTGAAATACCCTTCTGTTCCTCCCCCTCCCCTTCCGACTTTTCCACTCTGATGTTCCTTTTATGATTTTACATGAATTTAAAAAACAGTCTCTTCCTCTGACTCATTAAGGATAAATTAAAATGTGTGCTTAAATAAATCATATACTACTTTCAAACAATTAGTAAACTGTTCTATAAGATAGAAGTTATAATAGGCATTCGTGTATTTGAAATGGCAAGAAAAAAACTTTTAATATTCCATGATTTTGTTGTATATTTTATTCGAGGAGGTATCAAGAAAGTCCCCTTTTAGAATTCAGCTCCGCGTCAATGTAATCAATCAGATATGAATATAAACTTCTTAGTAGAGTTGAATTTTATTTAAAATTTCAAAAAAATTTATCAATTGCTAATGTTATTCAAATTTTTTATGCATTAATTAAGTAAGAAGGAAGGTACGTACAAGGAATTTGGAAAATAGCAATTTTTACATTTTGTTTTTATGAAATGAAAATATAATAGGATGAGCATTCATAATTTTTTCCCTTTAAGAGAGGAAATCACGTCAATTTCTCAGCAAAGTCACAGAAAAATCCATCTAAAATTATGATTATTACGCAGTAATTAATAAAACTCTGATGGAGAAAAGGCACAGCTCCTTAAAGATAAATTTTCAAAATACAAAACGAGGTCCCACCTCATTTAAATTTAAATAGATTCCGTTATGCCTTGCTTTGTTAAAGTCAATAAAGGTAGTTTTAAAGCCATATTTAACCATTGTTTTGTGATTCTGCACAGATCAAACTTCACCCTTACCCCTCCTAACCAAATACCAATCAGTGCCCCTTGAAGCAGCACCTAAAGCACCTTGGGCAAATGGTATGTCGCACCGTATCCATGCCAACCCACCAGCGCGCACCAATGACGATAATTTCCGGGTGGATATCGAAGTATTTAGCTACCGACCAATGAGAATGGGCGTGCGGGAAGGCAATCGATTGTTGGGTGCACCCCCACACCACGTTCACCATGGCAACGCTCCTAGGGAGCTGCGTCTGCGTAGGATCCGCCTGTCTGTCCACGCGCTTTCCCCTATCCTAAGACATCAGCGTCGACATTGGGGGCACACAAGTGATACCACCAACACCAGCTACACAAGTAGCAGTGGACGCCGGCACTTTGCTTTCTTCAATAACCACAACAAACTTTACTTTAATAGAGTAGTAAGTGCCTCTGACTAAAGCCTAAATACATACTCTTCAAATTTTGAAATTGCCACTTCCTTATTCTCCATTTCCACGCGCTAAATTAATAGTTATTTCATTCTTTGTCTCTTATAGCGTGACTTCAGTGGTCTTAATGCTTGAAACGTTTAAAAAATTATTCCAATTCATGGAGCCTCCAATTCATTCATATTATGCTCACTTGTCCATTTTAATATCGTTGTTTGATTGTAAAATATGAAATACGAATCCAAAATATAATTTTTTATTTTCCAGTCAAAACCTTGATTTGAATTTGCTTTAAGTAACTATGTGAAAATTTGTTTCTATTCCAGGCATTTTCAATGGAGTCATTCAAAATTAGTGACGATCAAGTTAGAGGTAAGTTCCCTATTATTTTGTAGTTGGTAATTAAACATTATTATTATTATTATTATTTCAAATGGCAGACGTTTGGAATAGTTATCATTAGCCATTTAGTCAATTTGTAACTTCACAGAGGGAAGTAACATCAAAGTGGGAAAAACTCGAGAGGGGAACAAAAGAACTTCATGAGCGAATTTTGATTTGTGGGAGGGGGGGGGGGGGGAGGAGAGGGACCCGTATGAGAACCATCCACATTGATCATTCTAGATGCTTCCTCCACCTTAATTATGGAAATTTGGAAACAGGCATTTTTATTTTTGAGTGGTGGACTAGTTCTATTTTAATTAAGGAGAATGGAATAATTTTGTTATATAATCATTCAGTTTAATTCAAACTTTTGAATTTGTTCTTGCCTAATAATGAAAATGTGAATTATATATTTTTGCAAACAAATAGAAGTAACATTTTTAAAATTTTTCAGTTAATAAGCGAGCGATCAATAAGTGGCTATAGCAATACACATGCGAGCGTGACTTTGTAACCCTCATTCAAAATCCTATTGGTAGAAATTTGCACTTTGGGTGAATTCACATACAATTTGATTGGCTGATAACCCATCCTTCTACGCGCACAGTTGCCAACATTTATATGACATGCCTTGACGCAAATGAACTGGGCTTCAGGCAAAGGACAAATCCACATCGAATTTAAATCTGACCCCTAACGCAAAAATAAAAATATCACATGATCTAATAATTGCTTATTGCCTCCACAGTTGCCACTGAAACTTTCAAGAAGTTTGACAAGCGTGGCCAAGACAAAATCAGCACGAACGACCTTGGCCCAGCTTTTTCTGCCCTCAAGGTCTCAATCAAACCTGATCTTTTAAAGGAATGGGCCGATGAAGTCGATGACGACGGTAAGTCCACTAAGTATTTATCAGTAGATACGTTCAATACAATCTCTCAATCGACAATTCTCCCTACTCAGCCACCGGATTTATTGATCTTACTGGATTCCTCTTGGTCTATGGCAAGATCCTCCAAAACGAACAGGATGAAGAGGATCTTCGACAGGCTTTCCGTGTCCTCGACAAAAACCGCAGGGGTGAAATCGATGTTGATGACCTCCGATGGATTTTAAAGGAACTTGGCGATGATCTTTCCGAGGAAGAAATAGATGAAATGATTCGTGATACTGATCGCGATGGTTCTGGCTTTGTGGATTTCGATGGTACGTTCGGATAAGAAGCTCCTAATTCAATAATTAAAACTTATGGAATAAAAGCAACATTAATTATTTAACAATAATTTTAATTTTAAATGTTTTAAACTATGGATAATGTTCATTTTAAATATTGATTTAAATTTGTCTCCATCTATTTTAGAATTCAAGAAGCTGATGACATCGGAGTAGGCCTTCTTCTCCCATTTATCCCCCCAAATTATCTTCATCATCAACATATTTCGCATCGTGACGCCTGTTTCCTAAGCCAATACTCATTCGCTTATTTTATATGAGGAGATCAGGAATTATTCGTCAATTAACATTTGCCCCGTTCTCTATCTCTGCATCTTTACTCCACTTCTCCTTTCGATCAAACAAACAGCAATCAATGCCTTCCTTATGGAAAAGAATCCCCTCTTCTATCTCTCTCTCTCAAACTGATTAGATCTTTTCACGGGCGCCATATTAGTATGGACGTTGTAAAGCGAAATTAGCCAAAAATACAAAAATAGCTTGCGTAATAAGTCCCCTCGCTGTAGCTCAAACTACGAGATGAATGTTATTGCCTACTTCTATTAGCCGAAGGTAAAATGAAGAAGTTTTTTGTTGTGAGTAATACTGATGTAGTGGGTGGGGAGCGAAGTTCTTCCTAATAGGTGGTCGGACAAAGTAGGCCCCGAATCTGCATATCCGATAGTTTGAGCTTAGTCAAGGAATTGAGAATTGTTTAAAGATAATTGGATAGAAGAATCTATGTAAAAGGTGAATTAAAAAATAGGAAATTAGAGGAGTATGTTGTGGTCTAGGGAAAGCTTGTGTAAACTTGGTGCTTGTTAGATATGGTGGTAATATCCATTGTTATATAACGGTTTCAGTTCTGGTGATTTAACAGCGGCTGTCAAGAGGTTTGAGTCTAGTCTATTTATTGGTAAATTGACTAAAAGTTGAGGTACAGATGCCTTATAATAATTTTGAATAAAGTTGGGGAAGTGGTGAGAATAATTCTGGAAAGGCGCGTGATCGCATGAAACAGTATGTCTGTCAAGTATGGCTTAAGAGCATCAAATAGAAGAACAAGCTGATGACAAGTAATAAGAGTACAACAGAATTTAATCTACAAATGCAATTTTTATTCTTGCTACGTCAATTAAAGTTAAATGCATATTACGCTTGTGCATGTGGGTTCAAATTTGCACTCTTTCAAGACAACGATTCGCATGCGAGTTTCTGGGTAAATTGATGTTCAATACCAATAGCTTTAGCAATTTTAGTTATTTTAATTAGTCAGCCACACTTTAGGTCAAATCTCCTCAAATAGCAAAGTGAACGAATCTAGTCTAAGACTGCCTACCACAGTTCATTCAAACTGAGCTCAAAGAAATCTTCGTTTTTTTAACACTTTTTAACTCTTTTTAACTCCTTTTCTCACTATTGAAATGACACAAGAATCTATTTATTATACTTTGCGTAAGTGAAAGTGTTTGTTTTATCCTCATCCAGCATAACAATATGCACAATTGTTTTAATTCATATTTACTTTGTTTTAATTGTGGTAGTAATATCTGTAGAAATAATGCCTTAATTATTTCAGTCTTTACAAAATGTAAACCGAAAACCGAAAAGAGTTGAACCCAAGTTGTTGTTCCTTCCATTTTACCACTTTGGTGAAATGTGAGCTTTTCAGATTTTTTTATCTCTCATACACAGAAATTTTATTGTAAACATTTTCATTTTTATAATTATATTAAATCTGATCAATGATTAACTTATGAATCACAAAAATCTTTACTATCTAGTCATTGAAAGTAATATAAATTACTTACACCATCTGAAAGCATCGGGGCAATTGCTACCACACAAATAAAAAAAGTGTACTTTGAGACATTAAAAGTTAATATTCGTTATTTGCTCATCAGCAAAGCTATATTCAAATGCTTATCTACCAAGTTCGATACCTATTGACCAGTTTTATTTTATCGGTAGGTTTCAACATTACATATAATTATTTCTAATGTTTAGAAAGTTTAATTAACCTTACATGATATTCTTCAATTCAAAAGTAAGATGCGAAGAGTTAAATCCTCAGATTTTCTTTATCTGATACGATATTTGTTATGGATATATTCTTTATATCATGTCAAAAATTTGTTATCTATCGATGATATCTACTCGTAAACAAAACGATAAATAGAGACTGTTTAATAAAGTAAATGGGATTTTCACATGTTTTACTAAGACTGAGGTAACAATCGACTTTTGTTGTATTATAATAACTTTCTTACTATTTGTAAATTCTGCTGAAAAAATTCTTACAAAATATTTAAATATCGAAATGAAACCGAAAAGATAAGTACTCCACCATTTTTTAATATTCTGCAAATTTGTGTGTTATCGTACTATAAATTTTAGCACAACTTTCCTACCCATAAAATTTGCTGGAGGTTTTATAAACCTGGTCCCTAAAAGGTTGGATTACATGGTACCGTTATAGCCCCTAACAGGAATTCTATTTCAATTCTTTTACCCATTGTCGCAATTATTCATTTACTTTAATTTTTATATAGTTTTGTATTGATATTTTCTCCTATGTTTTTAATCTTTTCGTTTATTCGATTTGAATTAATGGGAATGTTGGGAAACCCAATCGAATTCAGTCGTGCGCTCGATTGAGTACAAAAGTGCGTATTCGGTGTATTAAAGAATTCATTTCCTTTGTGTTGTCCCAACTATTATCGAAATTCTAACTTCAGACTTGAATGTGAACAAATACTGCAAATATTGGTCAACTTGTTAGCCAATCGAATAATTTTATTTAATTCGATAAAGTACAAGTATTAATCCAATAGCACGGCTTTGGTTAGTTACTAGTTATTTCTTTTTAACTCCTAAATTCTTGGAAGTTTCCTTGACAATTAACTGTTGTATTTAGTGCGTTTGTTAAATGCAAGTGATATATAAACCAAACGAAGTTGAAAACAGTTCCTTAATATCGCATACATTGGAATTTAAATGATTCCAATGGCGTGTTTCTAAAATTAAAAACGTCGTCTTTTAAGTGAATGAACAAATAAATTCCTTTTTTTAATCGGAAATCGGTTTAAATTTTGATTATTAACACCAATTATCGCTATAGTATATTTATGAAACACAGAAAATACAAATAAGGTAAATAATTTCCATGAAATGTTTTTGAGCAAATCTCTATCAAACTTTTATGATAGATCAAGGCAAGATTTCCTATAAGTAAATAACACCAGTAAATGGCAGATTAAGTACCGGAAAAGAGCTTTAGCTTATTTGAACTAATAGGCTGATCATTCATAATTTGAACAAAACTGTAATTTTCTAGAAGCTTGCATAGGTAACCACACATGTTGGAATAATTATTAATCAGTCAAGATTTGATTAATATAATCGAACCGATTTTGCATTAGCAAGTAGCGTTGGTAATTATTTTACATGAAATATGAATGATAACTCTATCAATTTTGTTGTTATTTGAAATGATACGTGATATTATAAAATAGCGAATTATAAGTTCTGCTTGGCTTATAATGAAGCAAAGAAATTTTCCATTAAAATGTAGTTAATTTGTTTAAGTTTGCAGGATGGTGCAGGGTTCATATCTCCGATTTACTCGTCTTGTGTTCGTTTTAAGTGGACGTAATTGCTGTTAAGAGTTATGAGTGATAACGGAAGTTATATCATCCAAGGGCATCAGAATAAGTATGCTTCTCTTCATTATTTTTCCTGCAATTTTCTCTTTCATAATGTTTTTTTACTTATTCAAGTAGACAGTCGAAAGGAAATTCTTTCCATTCGAAAAGAAGTGAAACTCCAGATTCCTCTGTTCTGAGTTCTGGCCAAGGCCCGAGTGCTAATGCACGCCCTCCAACACTTCCAAATAATCATCATCAAGGTTCTCAATCTCATTACCAAAACCACCGACCAAATTTTCAACGTGGTCGTGGAGGCCACAATGGGCCCCAAAATTCATTTGGAAGCCATTCCTATAATCGCAGATTCTCTCCTGCTCCCCGGATTCCAAATGCCGAGGAGATTGTCAACTATATGGATTCTTGTAATTTTTACTCTTTTTTGCTTTTATCTATGTTTCATTAGCTTTGAGTCAGTTACTCACTCGGATCAAATTACAATTTTAATATCTATATTCGAACGAATTAATGCTTGATACTTATTGATATTTTGACCATAAATTGAGGGTTACAGTTATTTTTACATCTAACTTGTGTTGATACTAAGCCAATCGGCATTGATAAAGGTAAAATGCGGGACTAGCCCTGATAATTAACGAATTATTTTTCTATTTGTCACGATGGCCTGTAATGATCTAATCATTAAATGATGATTCTTTTTTATTATTATCTATTCCTCACCTAAGCGCACTGAGGGAGCTCAATCTTTTCTGTCTGAACAATTATTCAAAATCATCAGTGTGGAATAGTTCTTGAAGAGCCCTGACTATTTGTTGATCTAGTCTCTGTCGTTCCTTTTTAGTGTGGCAGGATTTCAAGAAGGATTACAAAGAAGGTACTGGTTTTGATCTACATGAAGACGTTCCCGTTCAGCAGTCTTTTTCTGTGTCACAACCCCCAATGTCTCCTCGTGTTCCTGTTCATGTTAATTCGCCACACAGAGGTCAGCCCCAACAACACCGTTATTCCCATCAGAATTCGATTGGATCTAACTGGTCGGTAAATAGTGGTGTCGGTGGCGGAAATGGTTCACGCCGATTTTCGGAAAATGGTGAACATTCAAACACCGGTTCCTTACGTCGCCATCATAATAACAATCGAGGTGGTGGAAACTACAATGCTTCAAGTATGCTTTCTGTTTGCCTAGTTATTTTTTTCTGTCTGCTCTTCGTAATGCCTCACTTTATCATCCTGTAGATAACCAACCTTGGCAACGAAGCGGCAACTTCAATAATCGGCAGAATTCCCCCAACAACACCTTAAATCGGCAAGGTAGGTTTCTGCGATAGGGAGGTCATTTCGGGTTTTGAATTTTTTTGTATCCAAATGATATGCATTTTGTGGTTGTGTAATGTTGTTTTTCATAGGACAATTTCATCATCATCATCCCCCTCCTTATAGGGGAAGACGAGGCTATATGTCTGGTAAGTTTTAGTTTGTCGGCAACTAGGCGCTCTTCGTGTGAACCCATAG